ATAAATGTTAATTTAGATTAGGAGAAACAGACGATTAATTACTCTAATTATTTTTCTGTTCAAATTCGTGTAGCTGAAAAGAAAAAAAAATAAGAAAAATCGGAATCAGTTCATCTTTGTAGATTAGATATCAGCTTTAGAGAAAAAAGAACTCTAAAGAATAGAGGGCGAAATACAAAATGGAAAATAAGGTCGTAGCAGACGAAGTGAAAATGTGTTTTAAATCAGTATAATTCGCAAAATGGAGGATAACTTCGATTTTCAAATGCCAAATTCTTTTAAACAGTCTCAGAAAATTTATTTTTTTTATACTTAAGGTCACCCGGTTTCAAAGCTGAAGAGCCACTCACGCTAGAGTTTTACTGATAAAATAGTTATAATGAATGATGCGTATGATATGCCCATTAAAGTATTTAATAAGTGAAAATGATGAGGATCAGTTTGATTGATATCAATTGATCTTTGACTTGAAGAGATCAAGATTTTACTGTCGAGCCAAACATCAGCGATCTACTCTGTTCCACAAAATGACAGCTCTTGAGAAAAGTCTGCCTGGAACTTTCTTCTTACATTTGGTTTGGTTTGGTTTGATTTGTTTTACGGCATATCAATCGCAATGGCTTTTTTTTTTAATGTCGTCAGGATTTTACTGCTGGTATTATTTTTTCGAAACATGTATTGCTAGTAATTTCTTTTTTAAAAATGTATTACTGGTATTAAAACCTATTTTTATATTTTCCTAGTGTTTTGACCACTTTTAGAGGGTTAATTATTTTCCAATAGGACCCTGACAGGTACTACCACCCAGGATCAGGGTGGACTTGGGAACACCAGCAATTAAGAAGCGGTTCCACGTTCCTCAAAACCTCCTGATCAGAGCCCTTGCTCTTGGATGTAGTTTATCATCTTACCCAGTACGCAGATGCAGTTTATCGTCTTACCCAGGACGCGGATGCAGTTTATCGTCTTACCCAGGACGCGGATGCAGTTTATCGTCTTACCTACGACGCGGATGTAGTTTATTGTCTTACATTTGGAGCACGGAGGAAATGTGTGTGATTTGCTTCTGCAGAATTTGTATTGTGTGTTCGAGCTGTGAATGTCTGAAATGGTGGAACTAAAGAATGGAGCTGATCAGAATATATAACAATGAAACAGTGATAGGTTCGTGACGTTGCGCAGGTAGAGAAGAGGCTGCAGCGTCGAGAAGAAACCTCCCCCCTCGCAAGATCGCGTAAAAAAATTTGAACTCTGTCAGAGCTGGAAAGTGTGGATTGAGCAGACCCAGCCCAGATATGGTAGCAACACTCCATTTCTGTTCGAGTTTGACTCTTATAATGAGAAAGCAATAATATTGAACACACACACAGAAACATTCTAAAAACCATAAGGATACACACACATATAAACACATGTACATATAAATGAATAAAAAGTGTCAAGAGGAAAAACTACTCTCAGCTGACGCGTTTCGTCGTCCGAGGGACTTTTATGAAGACATTTTATCAAGATAATTTTTTTGTGCGTGTACTAGTGTGTAATTTATTCTTATTTTATGTCCCCCGCCCCTCGAAGAGATGGTGATAATAGATCTCCAGTAATTTCTGTACTTCTAGATAATGACCTTTTTGTGACCCTTCTTCATTCTTCTTTGACCTTGGTTTGACTGACATCCATTCACTCATGCTTATTAAATCGGCTACTTAGCTTTTTGTTCTTGCTCACCTGGACATCAGTCTATCCTCTGTGTGTTAAATAATCCAGGCTCTTCTTTCTCGTTACGTGTTCCACCAATCTCAACTCTATTTTCTGGAGGTATTTACATGTTTCACTTTAGTTCTATTCTTCTTAAAACTCCCGCGTTGATCACATTTACTGCTCATTGTAGTAGATTCAAATGGTGACTTACAGTATATTGTTTATCGTTAATAAACATCTAAGTTTTCTGAAAGAAAATATGGAAAATTGTTCTCGTTTGTTTTATTATTTGATGGTGGATAATAGCTTGAGTTTCAAGTTACGAAAAAACTTTAAAAATAATCAAACGCTTTCTAAGCGGCTTTTATTCACTCTTGTCAGAATAGCAAAAAAAAATGAAAAAAAACAAAATCAAACAAATAAAACAATAAATTGCAAAAAAAAATCTTTGGGAGGAGAAAAATTCATAATGTGTTAAAAGAATACAAGCTACAAAATACTGATATCCATTTCCCCAGCAACTAAATTCCAATTTCAGATCATTTTGATTTTGTTCGCGTGTTCTCTTGTAAAAGTTTATTTTATTTTATTTTAGATACAGAAAATTATGATCGCATTTTGTAGGTCGATAACGATCGATGAACGTTATTATTATTATTATTATTATTGCAATTTTTCCTGATTTGCTGTTTGATACGGTCCTTTACCAAGTCTTCTACTTGAGGCCTGAGGTGAAGTAAGATTTTTTCTTAGAAATTTATTAAGAATATTACAGCGAGAGAGTCTTTCTTTACATGTGAGAAACACCCATGTACACAAAATTCCGTATTTCAAATAAATACTATCATGGAAAGTGCTCTGATGAACTGAATCACCGGGTTCCACCGGGTCTGACCTTCACAGCTAAGATCCGCCATGCCAATTACATAATAGAAAACCGCCATAATTGACTCCATATTCCATCGGCGAGAAGTTCCACTCGAACATCTTCGTCCCGGGAACGACTATCCTATGGAACAGACTCCCGAGAGGATGTTTTCCCGATCACTACAATCTTAACACGTTCAAGCCTAGAGTCAACCGTTATGTTCTCCTATCATAATTCGCTACCTTGAGTGGCTTCCAGGCCTTGTACGGGGTGAAACATACCTTAAAAAAGACAAAAATGACAGATGGCCATGTCTATGAGTTGACACTTTATTTTATTATTGTACCTAGACTGTTTAGTTTTCATTGTATCTTTCCACCTAGAATAAAATAGTTCGCTATTGTTATAACAAAGACAATGCCACCTGGATTCGCCAGTGTAAGGGAGATATCGTTATAAGATATTTTAACCTAGAATTCTTTTTCCAACTGATTTTCATTCCTTTTCTCCATTTACTAAGCCTGACTCAGTACGGCGATGGGGATAGGAAGATTGTGTTCCGTCAGTCTTCTACGTGAGAAAGGTTTGCCTGCCGAGATAACTAGCATTTGAAATCATGGACATTTTCTTTCTCCTTTTTCCGTTTTTGTTTTTGTTTTTTTTAAACCGTTTCTTCGTCTTTATTTCAATTCATTTTATTGGCCTTCATTCTTCTCTCACTAGCTTTTCATTATTTTTAAATCTTAATATTTCTTGGCGGGTTTCGCTCAGTTTTCCCAATTTCGCTTTCTCTCTCTCTCTCCCTCTCTCACTCTTTAATATACTTCTTATTTGTTATCCAGTCTCTTGCACTTTCACGCTTTCACTCTTTAGTCTTTCATATTCTTCCTCTCTCTTACTCTCTGAAACCGAACGCTTGGTTCTTTCAATCTCAATCTCTCAAACACTCTTACTACGTCACAATATCTTTCTCTTTCACACTTTAACTTTCTCTCTCTCTCTCATTTCCTTTCACCTCCGATCTTTTTCATACTCTCTTACTCTTCCACACTCTATTCCCCTTTCGCATTTTTTGACTATCTCTCTTTTACTCTCTCTTTCATTTGTGTTCTATTATTCTTTTACTCTCTCTCTCTCTCTCTTGTTCTCATTCTTTCGCACTGTCTGAGTCATTCTGTTTTACTCTCGCTTAGTCTTTCTTTGTCTTCCTCTTCCTCTTATTCCATCACTTTCTCTTTCTCCGTCTCTATCTCTCTCACTGTTTAATTTACTAGCTTTTTCTTTTCATTTTTTTGGTTGTTTCTCTTTTCAATCTCCATCTGTTTACTTATTTTCTAATCTACTTCTTTCCTTGGTTGTGCTAATATATATATATATATATATATATATATATATATATATATATATATATATATTATTATTATTATTCCCTCTTCATATTCTCTGAATTAATAAAATGAAAAGAAGACGACGAAGAAGAAAGAAAGAAAGAGGAAGAAGAAAAAGAAGACAAGCCAAAACCAAAATTAAGACTTATTTCTCTCTGTCCATATCATTATTCCTGCAAGGAAATATGAATTAATTTCAATTTCGCTACAAAAAAAAAAAAAAAAAAAATACAAACATACCGACCGTTGCAATTATTGAAAATATGGAAAAAAAATCCCGTTATCAATTTTCTTGTGTCAATAGACACAATTTAACAACTTCAAGCTAAAACATTAGCTCAAAATAAAACAAATAATCAACTAAGTGATTTTCACGTGGTGTTATCATCTCTTGTCAGATGAAAAAGAAATAATTTCCATTGACAGAATTCAGAACGCGTAAAATAGCTAAAAAAATATATATATATATATATATATATATATATATATATATATATATATAGAGAGAGAGAGAGAGAGAGAGAATTTTGAACTATTATATTTTGAATTTTGGTTTTATTCCATTTTGTAATTGTCGCTTTTTATCAAGATACAGCGGGTCGATAAGCACTTCGATAGCCAAAACAAACTGCAAAATCGGAAATAAAGCAAGTACTATTCAACGAGAGATGAACCAACATCACACATCCCGTCTTTCTTGGATTTTTCCTTAACTATTTTCGGCAACGGATGCTACGGTTATTCCAATTTGTATCTGTTTTTTTTTTTTTAATGATTATTCGTTTTCTACGCCTTATCACACCTTTTCAGGTTATTTAAAGACAGAAAATATCTATAGATTGTAAGAATTTTTTCGTTTTTGGAAATGATAATTATTTAGTGACAGAGTCTTACTAATTAATCATTATCTGGCAGTGGGTAGAAGGTTTGTCTTTATGCATTTTCCCAAACGTATTTGCCCGGAAGTGAATATAACGATCCCAGCTGAAATTGGAACTCTCCGATTTCGAGCCATTATCCATTACACCACCCACACATCCAAGCAATGGGTATTCCCAAACGGTCACCCATCTTGGTATTGACCGGGCTCGATGTTGCTTAATTTCGGTGATTGTACGGGAACTGGTGTTAAATGGGATATGCCCTAAGCTAAATTTGTGTCTATTCTGCAACTTATTTACATGCAGACTATTGTTCAACATATTTGTTGTTGTTATCACAACGTTTCAACCGTTTTTGCCCTTCGGCCATCATCAGAGGAAATGGTGATAACTCCTCATTCGAGAAATTCGGACAGATGCCCTACTGCCTCTTTCTCGTTGACATTCTATGTTATCTTTGATTTACTGGAAATCTTAGAATTCGGCTTTCAATTTTCATTTTTTGAATATTTCCAGAAATCGAAAATATTTTTAATTCATACAAATGAACAGAACTAGCATTTAAATTAATTGTTTTCCTTGCTTAGTGAAAATAACCAAATGTGTCATATTTATGCATTTAAATCTTTGAGGAAAAAATATTTGTTTAAAAAAACATTCATAATCACACAAAATTTGGTATTTTTACTACAAAAACGTATTTTTATACATTTATAGTGTTTTGGGGTTCATTATTTGTCCTAACAGGTGCTATCACGTCTGGTCAGGGTGGGGCTGGGAACAACCACAAGTGGATTCGAGCTCCTCAGAACCGTTAATCTCCTGATCAAAAGTATTGCTGCCGTAGTTTATCGTCATACCCAGGAATATAATCTGTTGGTAACCATTGATTGCTATCGTATTTATTCTTGAGTCTATATACAGATGTTGATCGTGGATATATATATATATATATATATATATATATATATATATATATATATATATATATATATATTTAAGATTATAAGTAATCCTTCCTGCTGTAAGTGGTCTCTTTTGCAGGTGATCTTATCACTCTGAAATGATGGGCGTATTATAGGCCCGAGTTACAGTGTTGAATATGGTAAATTTTTTTTTCATAAAAGTTATTAAAGATTAATATATTATAAAAATATATATATATAATTATTTATTTATAAGTTCGCTTAATTTGATTCAGGAAATAGATTCGGGGTCCCCAATGAGGGTCGAAATCATTGTAAGTTTCTGCTGGTGTAGCTTCTTTGCCATCATTTTGCTTCTGATTTCTCACTTTTATATGTTTACTAACTTTAGCTTAGTCGATTATAGAGTTAACATTTTTAATTAAGTGTCGATTGAGGATTCCAATCACAGGTCTTGTAGCAGTCAAAGCGTCTATGGTGGTAAACAGACCAACACTACATGTGCCTGTGGTAAGAAATGAAGAAGATAATTCATTTTATTCATTGCGAATAAACCGCAGCTGTCGGCTCATTTTCCAATATCATGTTCAATGTTTAATTTTCCGCTCACACCTGTGACATGGACGGTATTTTATGAATCATGTTTCTCGCCATTATTATAAAATTACGTTATTTCTAATGCCGTACTTTACAACGCATGGGAACCGATCGCTTTTGGAAGGGAAAAATTGGAATAAAATAAACAAAGAGAAACCGGCAACATCTCACATCAAATTTTTCATTCGTAAAATTAATTCTACTATCAAGATAAACATGAAATGAATATTTTCAGTCGTCACAAATTAATGGAAACACCAGATACTGATTTATACAAAATATAGACGTCTACTGATCTCTTGTACTTACAAAGAATCACATAAATATGGCGCCGAATGATTATCGAAATTTTTACACCGCATTGCTTAGGTTAAGATTACAGAATATCATAAATATGAGAAACTACTAAACAGAATATTTTACACCTGCTAACAAAGATTGATCAGACATATTGATATGCCATCCAATAAACAGTCTATCTTCCATGCTCAGAGTTTCTGATATATATATATATATATATATATATATATATATATAAATATTATTAAATATATAACATAAATGCATAAATTCAATACAAAATTATCATAAATTAATATACCAATTGCGTGTATAGATATATATTTATATCAGAACTTAAAATGTATATAGGAAAACATATATATATATTATATAAAGTTAGATCATTCACACACAATATATAATATAATTTATAAATTTTAGTTTATATAAAATATTAACAATATGTGGTATTATAACTTTCGTTCTCTTTGCGTATAAATATTTGAATCTCTTAAATATTTAAGATATATATATATATATATATATATATATATATATATATATATATATATATATCTTCAATATATATATAGCTCGCTCCTTCTCTCTGTCTCCCATATATATATATATCTATATATCTATATATCTATCTATATATATATATATATATATATATATATATATATATATATATATATATATATATACAACTTATTATCATAAATTAATATTTTTTTTAAACGTGCGAAAACCGTTTGTTGATTATCCGTTAGATCATTCCTAACGTTTTAAAATGAAACCGCAATGTACAATAAACATACTTTTCCTGTTTAGTTTGAACAGTAGAAATACTGTATATA